TTGGTTGTATAGACAGTTGGGCTAATCGAGAAATGTCCTACGAACATTAAAGAAAGAACCTTAGTAATAATAAAACACGTGATGACGTCGTTATCACAGTATATGTATGTGCTGACCTCCCTGCAAATTTTCAAAGAAACCGATTATTGAATTGTGAGATAATCAACTTCTTTTTCTAAAGAAATAAAATATTATAATATATAATCATTATTAGAGCTCATACCTTTTGGTTATCTAAAAGTCTTGCAAAAATTGAAGGACTATCGAACTTTGGATAGCACATAAAATCGATGGATCCATCTGTTCCGCATAGTGCAGCTGTTCTCATATTTCCAATTAATCCATAATTCTCTATTGGAAGATACCCTCTTTAAAATGAAAGGAAAGCATTTACGTATAATGAGGGTGCGAATCACGTGCTTATTTAAAAAAATGTGTTAAATGTTAATAAAAATACCTTGTACGACAATTAGAACGGATATTCTCAGCACATACGGATTGTTGCGCAGAATTAAAACTCATTTTAGCTTTAATTTATAACGTAAATAAAATTCTTTTAATGCAATCTAAAAAAAATGAACAAGGTTCATTGACAAGGCGGAATGGAATTCAGGTTCTTTTTATAATTCTTATCGTTATCACAATTTGTACATATTAGGATTATATATCCTCAAAGCTGTACTCCAGATTTAATAAAGAAGTGATCTTTGGAATAATTACCATGAATAGTATTAACGACATCAATTTTGCTTTCTATTTACATTGTGAAGTATAGCGATAATGAATTATAGTAATCTTCAGTCATCCATTCCCAGGGTCGTACCGGCAGTTGTTTAGAAATGCTTAAAAGATATATTAACAATTCATTTAAATATCTAAATGGTCTCTCAGAGACGTTACCCAAAACTGATTGGGACGGTCCAGATCGAGTAGTTATTAAGTGTTAGAAACTAGTCTTGTGGGATAAACTGAAACTTTCTCTCTAACAAGACTTTGCTTAAACGAAAAGTTTGAATTCCAAATAATAGTAAACACTATATAACACGTTTCAGGAAAACCGTTTCGATTTTGAAGATAGTTAACCTGCAACACTAATATTACTATTTGGATTGCCACCTTTCGTCACCTTTTGTAACTGTAACAATAAATTCTTATGGAACAATAGGATCGACTAATTAGTGTTAGTCGAAGTTAAAGCAGAGTAGTTTCACGGCTTAAAATTAGGAATAGGGTCAGTCTGAAGGGGGATTCTAAGGTCTACATCAAAATCTTGACACCTAATTATCACATCGCGTGATGCCTGTGATATAATATTTTGGGTTTGCAGCTAAGGATGGCAAGTATTTTAAAACATAATGTTTTAAATCAGTTTTATATTGTTCTAAAAAGTTGTTTATTGTTTTA